CTGATAGAAAGATATTAGGAATCATATAATTAATGAATAATGTTAGGTACACTAATTCAAATCTCAACTTTTCTTTACTAACTGATTTGACATGTGAGTTGTTATTTTTTTATTTGTAGTTATTTAAAATTTTGTCACGTCAATTAATTATAAGATATTACATTTATCAATAAAAATGACAATTCATATGTCACATCATTTGATACACAAAAATAGATATTTGAGTTGGTGTCCCTAACAGTACTACTTATGATTAATTAGAAAGGATGTCTTTTGTGCAGACGTGACAAATTATGTGAGTGCATTCTTAGGCCTTATTTGGTACGAAGAAAAAGTGGGAGTAGTGACAAGAATAGTAGTACGTAGATGAAGTTTGACTTAATTAAGTTGTTTGGTGGGAACTAGGAGAAATATTAGAAGAGGGAATGAATTACCGTGGGAGATTATAATTTGAGTTTTGATTTGAATACGCGAAACAAACTAGGCCTAAATTTATTAGGTGCGAAGAAAAAAAAAAACTCCAATCAACTTTCTCTTTGTTTTCTTCCCCTAAAGGTTATATATGCATTTACTTCCTATTTTTTCCCCGATCATCTTATACCAAACACAGCCTTGATGAAAATGGTGATTTGAGGAACACCTCGAAAACGCAACTCCAACCTTATCGAAAGAATAACCTTTTGACTAATTTTTGGGTAATTATCGTTACCACATAAATACATCCAATCGAAAGAATAACCGATCGATAATCCAATCGACAATCAAGTTTTATTTATTTATTTATTTATTTTGGTGGGGGTATCGAATCACTAGTTAATGATCTGATTCCTTGTTGGCATTCTGTGCAGATATTCAATCAGATCGAATCTTGATTTCACGGCATATTTTGTTGATCGAGTCTCACACCCAAAGCCCATGAGAGGGACATGTGTAATATGGATTCGGCACCTTTTTCTTAATTCTCTTTCCTTCTTTTAAAGATGAAAGTATAATTGATCATGAGGAATGTCAATAATTTTCATGATTTATAGGATATAAATATTTAAGTTTATCATTTCATGATTTTAAGAGATTTCTTTTTAAACAAAGAGAAATGTATTTCATAACAGAAAAAGGCAATACAAAACACCAACTTATACCTACACAGCTCCTTGCAAGAAAAATTTGCACCAACAAACAACCAATTTGATTTGTAAACTCGAATAAATACTTAAGCACCGGAAATAGTGTGTACTAGGTTCCATAAATAGACACTCAGAGAGGTAACTCAAAAATCGAACACACACACGACTTTATAACAAATTTTCTACAATCGATGGAAATATCTGACCAAGCATTGAGAATGTGATCATAGAATTAAGACCACACAGAAAACAATAGAGAAACAAATATTAATGCTTATGGAAAACAGAATCAAGCACTGAACAAACGAGACAAATGCACAAACAAGTCAGAAAAATCACTATTCTTTCAGACCTAAACCAAACTAATTAGTAGAAAAAGGACGATTAGAAACAACTGTAAACAATAACGACAAAGCTTCCAATATAGAGACGTTCATCACCTTCGTAGACAACAAGAACAAGAAAAAGGTCGGGCACTGAATAATTGTGACACTACCGAAACTATTGCATGGCACCACACATATAGCCCAACACAATAGGCGCGTTTGAAACTCGTTTCAAAATGATTTTATTTTTTATATGAAAATGAAAACGTTTTTAATCTCAGACATAAATCATTTTTGAAAACTCGTTTGGTAGTTTTATCAAGAGATTGTTTTCGGTGTAAAAAAATCCATTAATGTCTCTATTTCTCTCTTTGCTTGAGAGAGGAGAAAACGAAAATAAAAAATGAAAAACGACTAAAAGTCATTTTCATTTCTCTCTTATTTTACACTAAACTAAAAAATCATTTTTATTTCCGTTTTTTGTCTTTATTGCGCAAAACGCCGTTTTAGAAACATTTTCATTTTTTTTTTCTCAAAAAATGTAAAAAAAAAAAAAAAACAGAATCAGTTTCAAACACAACCAATAATTCTAACACTGTATCCCACCACTAGTGCACAAGAGAGTAGGGATGCCATAAAAGTGCCATTCGCTGAAAACCAGCTAAGCACCGCTATCTGATTCCATCTTAGATTCACAATAGCAAACACTGCCCCCACTACGTACCAAATACAAGATTGGGAGCATAGTATTACGCGTGAAGGAGGTGCTGGGTACTCCAGCCCAAAAACGCTCATTTTCTCTCACTTTCTCTTCTCTCTAGGGTTGTTGTTTTACTTCTCTCAGTTTGTAACGAGGAACTTTTTCTGGTATTTTCTCTTTCTTAAGAATATTAATATTCTCTGTTTATTATTAACCATCATATCTATATTAAATTTGGTCAAAACTCAAATCAAATGAAAAAAGTAACACACATTCAATGACTAATAAACAAAAATCAAATGAAAACGCTCATTTCCTTTAATGATTTGAAAGTTTCTGTTGGTAAGAGAATATTGGTAACAATATTAATAGTATTTCTTTTTTCTTTTTTTCTTTTTTTATATCAAGCCCATTAGGTGTACATATCATCAAATGAAAGTTGTCAAAAGCTATTACCAAAATTTTCACTCTCTCCCAAATTCTCATATATGTAAATACATCATTCCTGAGTCAAGGAGACTCGTGCGTAACATTAATACATCATTTATTTAATTTTTTCTGAAGTCCATTAAGTGTATATACTGTAATGCCTTTTTATCAATAAATCTTGGCAAAGTCTCATAATATTTACAACCCAAAGAAAATGTATTGTGTGGACAAAAATGATGTACTGAAATCTATTATTCCTTCTAATTAATGCAGCTCATGCAACTTTGAAATATTACCAATATCATAATTACCGCTTTGATAACTAGCCACACAAAATGCATCAACTTGGGTTTTGTCAGAAAGAATTATATGGTCATAGTGATTCATACGCTCATCTGTGACATATATTCAACTATTTATAGGCCATGGCTAGCCATGAAGAAGGCGAAAGTTTAACAAGTCAAGACCTTGTTTTGTACGAAACTCGTCATCATTGTACGAAACTCGTCATCGTTGTACGATGTGATACATAATGGAATAACTTGACTTTCCACGACTTTTTCTCCAAAAAGCCACAACTTTCCGTCTGTGAATTTTGACAAAATTGATTACTATTGTAATATCACAACCACAAAGCAGTAAAAGGCTTACAAAGAACACCAAATATGATTCTCAATCCCTTTTGGGAGCTTTTTCCTGTTCACAAGAATAATATTATAGATTCATTTATTTCACCGATTTAAATTTTTAGTTTTAGATTTTTACAGTAAAAGATTCTCAGAAAATATCACATCCAACTTTTTCTATTACAGTAAAAAACTCTCAGAAAATGTCACATCTCAGTTCGAATTGAAAACTCGAATCTACGAAGTGAACGAGGCCTAAGGGTGTCAATTTGTGTTAGTGGGTCGTGCTCATGTCAATATGTTTATTAATCTTGTTAGAAAATATTAATTTATTAAACGTGTCAAAAATGTCAACCCAAACACGACCTATTTATTAATTGTGTTAATCGTGTCAACCCGTATAACCCATTTAAATTAATATATTGAATAAATAACTAGTATAATTGTTGACGGTAAAAACTAATCAACATATTAATAACAGGTTTTCTATGATTCATGCTCGGATTAAAACTCAACGCAAATAATAAGAAGAAAATAAACAAAATCAACACACGGATTTTATAGTGGTTCACTCCAATATACAGTTACATCCACTTAGTTTTTCACTATTCTTGGTAGAGAAAATACAAGTTCGGGAAAAGGGTGTTCAACAATCTGACCCCCCTTTCAACCTATTCTTTCTGCTTATATACATCATGTTGTTTCTGTCTGTTGTTAATCATCTAATCAAATCCCGTGATATCTTCACCCTACTCCGGAACAGTAATCTTTGATCACCGAGATTTCAGCCAATTTGCTGAGTTTCTCCACTGGCTTCACCACCTACTATGCATGCATTTAATGCACGTCAAATCCTAGCACAGTTGTACTTCAATCTGGACGTGGGTGGGTTCGTCGCCTTCGGCTCTTTGGAAGCGCTCTTCGTTCATGGCCAGTGAAGCGTTCGTCTTCACGGTATGGCCCTTGTTCCTTCTAGTCAACTCTTTTGACGGGGATACTTGACCGCTAAAGGTCGACGTTCATCCAGTGCGCTCTACCGCCATTCCGTATCTTTATGTCTTAATTATTTTATGCTTTAATCAAGCCACGTGGCGCCTAGTCATTGCTTCGTGCGGGGCTTAAGATTTTACCTCACAACAATAATAATGAATTTTTTAACGTGGTCATGACAGGTGTAACATGTTTATTGGTCAAATTATATTTTCCTTTTAGAAAAATAAATGAATTTTACCTACAAATATTAAAATTCACATTATTTGTATTTAATATGTCATATAAACTTTCATGTTATATCACATATCATTAGATTGCAGATGACACATATAGTTAATCGTGTTAATTCGTATCACTTTGTGTTAGGAGGTCAACCCTAACCCAACCCATTTATTAATCGTGTTAACCCAATTATGACATAAACCCATTTATAATAAACTTAAACCCGCTAAGTTCGTGCGGATTTCTCGTCTTGTCGCTTTCCGGATTCCTTTCCCTATAATATAGCCTCAACTTTTTTTTTTCATTATTTCAGCTAAAACAAAAACAAAACAAAAAAATTCGTTAAGATATAACCTCTATATGTACTTAAACTTCTCTCAATTTTCTGTTTCTTCTAAGATTTTCATTGGTACAAACAAAAACTAAAACTGGTTAAAGAAAGTGTCATTTATACTATTTACAAGAGCAAAAAATGTAAAAAGAAGGAACCAAAAAAGGAAAAAACAAACAAACAAACAAACAAACAAAGATCTCTATTTATATTGTCAGAAGCAGCCTCTATTGAACACTGTATAAAAATTTACATTTTCCGACGTATTAATCCATAGACCATGACAAGAGCCATTATAAGGGAATGATCTTTATGAGGTTCCACTTCCAAAGAAAATACATCATCTCCTAACACAACCCCAGAAGTTGATAGCTTTTGTTTTGCCTGCATAAAATATGATTTAAACCATAAATAATTACAAACGAAGAAGATATCATAATTATAATTTGTACAACCTCATGAGATTCTGGCTTTAATTAATATATGATTCTCACCTCGGCAATAATCTTTCCATCAAGGTTGTTCACTATTCTGAATCCTCCTTTGCCTGCCAATCTTACTATCCTGTACTTATCACATCCAACAGTTATTTGGCAAGCCATGTCTCCCATAATTAGCATTTTGCAATGTCTTTTCACTTGAAACCAAGGTTTCTCCTTGTTCATGTTGGAACCACCCCGTTTATAGCCATCCCATGATCCACCAAAAGCTTGTAATTTCTGCAAATTTCAATTGAAATACAAGAGAACCCATTTCAGATTATAGTTAATGGAACATATATATATATATATATATGTAAATACGTATATATGTATATATGTGTATATATATGTATGTATATGTTAATTGTGCACATGAATATATCATCACCTTTTTTCTTATGGTGTAGAGAACTTTGCCTTGGAGATCCATAAGATGGACTTCATTGCTACACTTTTTCTCATAGTTATCTACTCTAAATACAATTTGGCCATTGGAGTTATAAACTGTGCAACCATTTGTGTGGTACACAAGTGATTTCATCCATATGGTGAATGTTTCTCTTTCACGAGTCAAGTAAGGGGAGAGAGAAAGAGCTTGATGAGGATGCACTTTAGCCATGGAAAGAGAGAGAGAGAGAGAGAGAGAGAGAGAGGAAATAACAAACTTTGGGGTTAATAATACTTTTTGGAGGTTGGAGAAAAGTCTAGCCTATGAGAGCTTATTTATGTTCCTATAAATTAAAGTTCCAATGAGAAATTTTCAACTATGTATTATATATTATAATAATGCAATGTGATTGTCTTGAATCCCAATGAAGTAGATATTCTAATGCCCCGCAAAAGCATATGGGTCTTTGTTTCTATACATATATTTCGTCAATATTATATTGCTTTCATTTCCCTGTTTGCTATGGGTAAATACCTTCTGTTTGAGGACCACTTGATATGCCATTGACAAGTTCAGTTAAAAGACAAAAGTGTCCCAAGGAATCTGAGGTGTCACAAAAGTGATTGGTTGAAAAGCCTGCAGTATTCTAGCCTGCACAGTGGAGTGCCAACCGGAGAGGACTCATCCTATATGTGGTAAATTCAATCACGTTTATTAAGCAATATTAGTTAATAAAATTAATCAAGAGCAGCCCCTTGTTTACTTAAAAAATTATTTTCTGTCGTTTGTGACTTTCACAATCAGCAAGGGAAATAAGAACAAAAAGGACATTAAAAAGTCCATTTGTTTATGGGAGGAACATGCACAAAAGGGATAAAACGATATGCATGCCTTGGCTTGCATGCATTTTCCTCTTTTTTTATTTATTATTTATTTTTTTATGTTATCCCTGTGTACTTATCTAGTTATCTACAATATTGCTACTCGATAATTTACTTAATTTACTTAGATAATTTTATAGAGCCTAATCAAATGCTTTTTGCGCTTGAATCAGATGCTTTCCCACCGTAATAAAGAATATTATAAATGAATAAATATGAAAGTTGCAATTGATAAAGCAGGGGGTGATAAAAGTGACCATGTCATGTTGCATTAGGTTTTGAGTTGCCAATATGATCTCACTTACCCCAACACAAGTTTATCTTCTGATTTTATTAGGTACCGCTAATTTAATCCAAAACCACGATGTTGTATTGTTCCTCAAATCATCCTATGGTGACGGTTTAGTGCGAAAGTTTTTTTTTATTTTTATTTTTAGAGCCATTAAATTGAAAATTCAATAATTAATCACACTTAGAGACGCATCTATTCCTTGATTCCCATAGACCCTCTTCAACCATGATGAAGAATATGATGATCACTCACAAGCCTTAATACGCCTCTTATAGTGACTTTCTAGAATGGCCCCTTTTACAAGTCACATCTACACAATAAATAACTCGCAAGTTGCAATATATAGGAATATAGCCGATGTGACCAGAACCATCTAACTGGCCAGACGTTCCAAAATGTCAGGCTATATATTGCAACATAACTTTTGGCTAGCAAATAAGATCACTGTTGACTCTTAGATCCCGTTTATTTTATCAATTCGAATTTTATTATAGTAAAAAATTTTCATAATCAGTCACATTTAATTTTTTTTATTACAGTAAAAAGTCTTCACATAAAGTCATATCTCAATTCAAATTAAAAACTCGAATCAACGAACTAAACAGACCCTTACTTCTTGTGTTCAACTTTGGCTATTAATTTGGTTTGAGCTAAACAAATCCAAAACAAAAGTCTTTTATGTTCCAAAAAAGAAGCATCTATTATTCCCACTTTTCTTCACACCTTTTTGCCATTACCTTGTCCAAAGACAAGGTTATTCATAGTCCGAACAGGCTTTGTGATGTAACCAAACATCCCAAAATGTCCTGTTTGTGTTCTATTGTTGAGTGCTGACTAGCCGTATAGAGACAATATTGAAAGTGCCCTAATAGTTCTCTTTTTTTTTTCTTTTTTTTTTTTGTTTTCTTTCTTAAACAATTCCATAGGATGATGGATGTTTTTTTTTTTTTTAAAACAAAGAACTAATAATGATTAATGACTAAGCAGATAGGATTTAGAGGAAAAAAAGAATTGGAGATGAAGGAAGCATAGAAAATATTGCAAAAAGAACGTGGAAAAAGTGTCAACTTTTTTACAGGGATTGCTGACGTGGCACACCAAACTTAAGCATTGCCTTGAGACCTAAATAAAAAGAATAGTCCAAATTACATGTGATGTGTAAAGAACAATGAATTACAACAAAGCCAAGTCAGGTGCATCTCCTACTTCATTCATTATGTTTAGTTGGTTAGCTAGTCTGTCTCTTTACATACAAACAATTTCTTTAAACCAACTTTATGCGAGCAATATTTAAGTAGGATAATTATACAACTCTTACCTCAGTTTTAAACCAGAATTCAAGGTAATATTTACATTACTAAATTTTAAATTAGAATTTCTTTCACTAACAAAAAGAAAGTTTTTCTTGGAATTTTAAGCCTAATATACGCAAATCACATTTTGTTAAAAAAAACGCAAATTACGTAAATAGAAAGATAAGCTTGGGTTGAGTCGGCTATCTCTTAAAGAAATCTAATATGGGGTTTATGATTTATCAATTTTGTTTCGGGAATTGATTGTTTTAGCACTCATATAAGTTAAAGCATTTTGTATAATCATCTTGTAGTGGAAGCTGACGAGTTTATTGAATTGAGTAGAAGTCTGGAATGTCGTTTATGCTTTTGGTGTAATTTACATTTTTGTACTCATTTTTCTCATTAGTTGTTGTTTGTTCTTGTCAATCGTTTTCAATATATGCAACATTACCCTCCTTTAGTGTCGTTTCCTCTACTACCGTCGATTAATATTTTTGCTGTCATTTTCATATGTGCAACATTTTTTTTTCCCTTGATGTATTCTATTCATTTATTGCCGTTCACTTACTGGTGTCGTTTTCTCCTTGTTTATCTTGTTATCTTATTAACTAATTGTAGTCCATCACTTATAGTGTCGTTTTGTTTTCTTTGTTGTCATTTTTCGTTGTGTAATATTTTCTCCTTGTTGTCTTTAATTCCTCTTTGTGTGGTCCAGTCACTCCAATGTCGCTTACATGATTCATGTCATTTTTCAAGATTTTCAGTTATTGATGTTTATCCATTTCGCTACTCCCTTAATTTACTCTTTCCTTTCCCGTTTCTTATGTGCAATAGCATCTCCTAGTCGTAGCTCCTTTCACTTATTCTAGTGATGTTTTATAGTCGCTTCTTACTGTTGGTTTGTATTACATTTTTCTGTTGTCATAATTTTTTTTAACCTTTTTTTTTACATTCTTTTTTTAAAGGGTTTGACATTCTTTGATGTGCATTAGTTTTCTGCTTTTTTGCGTCGTTTACATAATTTTTATTATCGTTCTGAACTAGTCAGTTTGGATGTCGTTTGTATTTCAGGAGAATTTATTTATTTAACTGTTGTTTTCTATTTTTGAGTCCTTTATTCCTTTTGGCGTCGTTCACTTTCTGCAGTGTTGTTTCTCCTTTCTTGTGGTTTCTTACACAGAGTCGTTTTTCATTTATTGACGCTTAAAGCTAACCCCTGCAGTATCGTTTTTAATTTTACTGTCGTTTTATTTTTTATTGGCGTTTATTGCCTCGTGTTTATTCATATCGTCGTTTTCACTTATTGTCGAGTGACTCGAGTCTTTTTTTTAATATTATTATTTTTTCCTTTTTCCTTTTTTTTCCCGCTAAATGAGTCTTACGTGTCATTGTCGTTTTAGCTTTTATCGTTTTTCACGGCCAATGTCTTTTATCCTTTGCTTTGGTTACCTATAACGAATTGTCGTCATTTTTCAGCTTTTTTTTTCTTTTTTCTTTTTATTGTAGCTTGCTTTTCTTCGTATCATTTTTTCGTTGTCGTTAATTTATTTTGGCATCTTTCGCTTACTTTTACTCATTTGTTTTTCAGTTGGTTTATTCTTTAGACATTTCATCTCTCTGGTTTCTCTACCCTTTTCTGCATTTTTGGGTTGGTTTACTAGCTTTTTTTTTGACTTTTTTCGTGAGTTCAGGTATTTTACTGTCATACCGTAAAATTAAAATCGACCACCACCGCCCGAGAAACCGATCGCTCAAAAATTGAAAAATACAGTGTCATGTGGAACCAACAAAGTTAGTTCGGTTAGCCGACCGAAAAGGCTTTAAGGCGGTTCGGTTTCGATTTAGGCCCTTGATGTTCGGTTTTTAACCGAACCGACCGACTCAATTAATTAACTTTTATGTGTTATTGTCGTTTTATTGTGTTTGATGTCGTTTCATTGATTTTGTGTTTTATTGTTATATCGTTTTATTCATTTGATGTCTTTTTTTATTTTGTTGTCGTTTTGTGTTTTGTGTTGTTGTTTGATGTCGTTTCACTGATTTTTTGTCATTTTTTTATTCAACCTCAGATTCACTTCTTGTTCTTGAGCCAAGGTGAAGTTTTTAGGCGCATTTAACATTTTATAATTGTTTGCGTAAATGTGCTTGATTTTCTGTGGTGTAGAGACTATTAAGTATGCTGTGTTTATGTGTTTTATTGAGATGCATGCAAGATGTTGTGAAAATGCCTAAATGAATTTATAATTTGAATTTAAAGCGAAATAGGAGGTTTATGAGAAATAGGAAATGAACTTCATTATGCTTTTTAATTATGCTTTGGACTTCTTAATTTCTTATGCCAATTTAGATATTTTTTACACTTTGAACATTAGTATTGTTTGTTGTAACTTTCTAGTTTCTAGTTTATACTTTGGATTTTGGACATTGAATTTAGATATTTTGTGTTTGTTGTGCTATTATCAATTTGGATGTTGTGCTTACTTATTTGTATTCATTTATTGTGATTACATGTTTACATAGAAGGAATGTTTTACATTTTTTCGTTATTTCTAGTCAAAAAATGCAACTAAAGATGCTGATAACCTGATGGTTAACCGATGGTCACCATCCTGCTTACCAAAATTGAAAACCGACCGCAAATTGAAATTTGGTTAACCGAACTGAATAGTACTTCTGCGGTTCAATTTCGGTGCCTGGTTTTTAAAAATCGACATGGTCGGTTCGGCCCCCGAACCGACCAAAACCGATAATTTTTAACTGCCGAACACCCCTAATATAGAGGCTGGGCAGTGAGAAAATGGATCGAAGTTAGCTCTCTCCCTGTATGGTCCAAATGGCCTCCTTTTTCTCCAAATAACATGGAGCCAGCCAAATTTCCATAGCCAGCCCAACAAAACCAAACATCTACAAACAGACCACCATCCGATTCTGAATGTTAAATCTTCAGTTTGTTGTTGTGTTTGAACTTCATATTTTACGGAAACATACAATCTTGAATCAAGCAAATGTCACCTGTTGTGTACGGCGTGTTATGGTCACTTTTTTTTTTTAATAAAGAAAAGTGTGGAGAGAAACGACCAGTCATAGCTATTCTTAATTAACGCGAGTCTTGTTAGGGAATGTCCACATAAAGTATGTCAGCATAGCTTTAAAGACTAATAAATTTTGAGCAGCTGATAGCCCCGAAAAAGTCTCAAGTATACTTTTCATAGAATTTGATTTCAAAACCTCCCATCTATCAAACTAGTAATGGGGAGTAAGTCCAATGCCACTCGGATATCATCCTGGCGGTGTGTTATGGTGAGGTTGGCTCAAAAAAAAAAAAAAAAAACGCCCAATGGCTGATCTCTACTCAAGAAATTGGTGGTTTATACATACATATATATATATATATATATTTGTATGCCTGTGTTATGGGGAGGTTGGCTCAAAAAAAAAAAAAAAAAAACGCCCAATGGCTGATCTCTACTCAAGAAATTGGTGGTTTATACATACATATATATATATATATATATTTGTATGCCTTCAAATTCATATTCTCCCATTGGACAACCAAAATTAATCTAGATCATGATCACTAAATTATTGAGTGATTGGTTAGTTAATTATATAATATCCAACATTAACGTTAAATGCATGAGCTGTAACAACCCATCATGTTCTTTCATTGTAAACAATTTTCTTGTTTATAAAATAATTAAAAAAATTATAGCTTTGTTTTGTAACATTTCGTGCATGTTTGGAGCCATTTTTTAAAATGGTTTTCACGTACTTTGAGAAGCAAAAAATAAAAATAAAAACGAAACAACGTTTGTTTAGTAAATGTTTTAAAAATGAAATTGAAAACAGTGAGAATGGTTTTTGTGAAGGAATTAAAAAACAGTTTAAAGTTATTTTCACTTTTCTGTTTTTATTTTTTAGTACTTGTCAGTAATATTATAATATATTAATTAATAAACACAATTTTATTTTCTTATTATACTCAAAACAATCTCTTAAAAAACCAACCAAACGCAATTTCAGAATCAGTCCCAGAATGATTCTCAAAACAATCTTATTTTTACTTTTTATTGAAAACAAAATCATTTTAAAACTAATTTCAAACGCATCCTTCGTTTCTGTGTTTTTATTTTTATTTTTTTCTTTTTGGCTTGGTTAATAAAGAAAGGTAAAAGATATTCTTAAGCCGTAAGGGGTGGGTTTTCTCCACTTCAACCCCAACAAGGGGGCCAAAATTAACCCCACAGGTTCCGTTCCCAGTCCCTAACCCGACCCCAACGCCCGTCTCTATCTTTGATAATTGTGAAATATTTGATGTGTTTGTTAATATAGTTATTTACTGTTTAATACATAGGTTTTTTTTTATCTTTTCTTATTAAATATCACAATATGGATTGTATTAAATTTAAATTTGATATTAAATTATATGGAGTACTAATACCGCATACCAAACGTTCTCTTAGTATGGTTTTCTTTATTATATATATATATATATATATTTGTTGACCTGGCATATGTTACATGGTTAATTAGTCAGTTTTTTGTGCCGAAATTAGTTATGTTAGTTGGACTTTGTATCCAGTAAACGGGATTAATACATCGTATTCGAATTTGTTCTTACAAAATCCAATAGTGAAAAGAAAAAAAAAATAGTCAACTTTCTTGTAACCTGTTTGGCGAAAGAGATTTTTCCCCGGGAAAATTCTGTTGAATTCAGAGTGTAACTTAAGTTATCTATGAAGAAAAGGCTTCTGGAACTCCTACCAAGTAACGCTCTTATTTTCTCTATATATGTTTAAGTAAGTTTGATTGTTCATTCTTCTTTTGAGTATTTCCGCGGTAATTTCGGTTTGCAGTTAAAGTGTACCTCTTTGGAGCATTGTTTGTTTCTCGAGAAAAACTTTGTGGTGATTGTCGTAGGTTATATAAGACTTGCAACTTACAAACAAATAAGATGAACAATATAAAAAAAAAAAAAAAAAAACTTGACGGTCCCCATTTTTCGACTCTGATTGATAGAAACAATTATCTTTGTGATAAAGACTAATTAGAGGCTTAGATTTCTCTTCCTTTTTCTTCTTCTTCTTTCTCTTCTGATCTGTCACCAATCTCACGAAAACTTCCACATTTCTCCTCTTTCTCTTTGGAGCATTTATGATTTAACTTGGAAATTCTAGTGCCGACAAAATTATCTAGCTAGCTTGGTTTTCCTATCTCTATTTCAAAAAAAAAAATAATAATAAAAAGGTGTAAAAAGAATGTCTACAAGAGAACAATATAAAGAGAAAAAAAAAAAAAAAAAAAAAAAAAAAAAGAAGCATAAAGCGTGAGCAAGAATTATTGTAATAATATTAGTGGAGGACTAATGCAATCATTTTCAACAAAAACAAAATTAAGAACAGCAGAAGCCTTTTGGCCACCAACTTTCTCACTTCACAGAGAATCCATTCCATATTATATAAATATATATATATATATATATATTATATAATATATATATTTGGGTGTGCTTTTTAGTACTCTAATATTATCATTATTTTAGCAGTAAGATATTAACCCGACGGTTATAATAAATTATATAATTGATAAAAAAATTTATGATAATTAATAGAACTAAATTTTTATCACGACACGTCATCAAATTTGGTGGTAACCACTAATAGAAACGTAACCATTAAAAACTGGTACTATTATATTTAGGTATATGTGTGTGTGTGTGTGTGTGTGTGTATATATATATATATATATATATAACTTAGAGACAATAAACAGGTCCTTAGATCAGGCATGTCTCATTTTTCAGAGAACTTTGATACATTTGGGCTAGAACTTTGATAAATTAGTATATAGATATCATACCTTTCATTCATGTACTGTATACATAATAGTCCATAGATGTCATACCTTTTCCTGCTACCTAAGTAAGATGCTAAAGGTCAAAACTGCATATTTCATGAAAACCTTAGAGAGAACGGTAGAGTTTTTTTTTTTTTTTTGGGATTTAATATAATTATTTTCACAACTCTTTCTGAAACTCTGTAGTTAAGCACAAAACTCTGGTAAAAAGGATAATATATTCAAGTAAAAGATAGAATATTCTTTTCACCAAAAGTATTTTAAAGACATAATATACTATATGGTATGAGGTCCGTTTCATTTGACTTTTATGCATGTTTCTTGCTCATGTTATGCTTGACTTATTCTCTTAACCATTTTCAAGAACAGTTCCTGAATTCCTTGTTTTTTTTTTTTTTTTTTTTTTTTGGCTCTAAAAAAGTTATTCCTCAATTAGTACTTTTTGCCTTCCTTGAACGCAGACATAACTCAACTGTATCACCCTTTCCCACAGACAAAAAGGCATGAAATCTTACAGCCCAAAATCTTCTACAGCTTCAATATAACCAAAAAGATGAAGCAAATCCCAAATTCAGTGTTACAAAACTCTGGTTTTTCTTTATGTTTTTATGGGGCTTCGAATTGGTGGCTTTGGTTTAAAAAGAGACCTGTAATAGCTTCTACTTCAGCAGCCTTGTTCTTGATGCTTATAGTGGTTGCAGCCTTTCTCTTGTCTTTTGGCATAAACACTGTAAATATTCCCAACTCAGAAAGGAAAAGCTTTTTTGTAATATTTATGATAAACCAATTTTATGCTTTGTGGTAATACATTAGTGTTTTTTTTTAGTACTAACTTGCCTTTTGGTTTTTGGTGTTTTGCCTTGCAGTCTAAGCTTTCTATTGACAACTTCATTTACCAAACTGCAATAACCATCCAAAAGGATCAAAACCCACCTAGAAGAGTTGAATTCCCACTTAATTGTACCTATTTCACTAACCAAACCAAATTCTGTCCAACAAACTACCCTGCAAGTTTTGAGAGTGAGAGTGTTGATCAAGTTGACCAATCATCCAATCCCGTGTGCCCGGACTATTTCCGATGGATCCACGAGGATCTACGACCATGGAAAGCCACCGGAATCACAAGGGACATGGTGGAGAGGGCAAATAGCACAGCACACTTCAGGCTGGTGGTTGTTAAAGGAAAGGCTTATGTTGAGAAGTACAAGAAGTCAATACAGTCCAGGGATCTTTTCACCATATGGGGGATATTGCAGCTCCTCAGGAGGTACCCTGGGAAAATACCTGACTTGGAGCTCATGTTTGACTGCGATGACCGGCCGGTTGTTAAAACAAGAGCCTACACTGGACCAAACATGACGCAGGATCCTCCTCCGCTCTTTCGGTACTGCGGTGATAGGTGGACAATGGATATTGTGTTCCCTGATTGGTCCTTCTGGGGTTGGTAGGTTCACAACTTGCTTCTTCTTACATTTTTTTCTTACAATGGACTCAAATTCACTAAAGGGAAAAGCAGATCTTTTGTCATTTTTTTGTGTTTATTATTGAACTAAGTAAAGTCATTGATTGGAGAAGTTTATTAAATGATCAACTCACATATTGCATTTTTTTTTTTAGGGCTGAGATAAATATAAAGCCATGGGAGAGTTTGCTGAAAGAAATAAAACAAGGAAATGAAAATATCAAATGGATGGAAAGAGAACCATTTGCATATTGGAAGGGAAATCCTCATGTAGCAGACGGCAGAAGAGATCTTCTTAAATGCAATGTCTCTGAGACACAGGACTGGAATGCTCGTCTATTTATCCAGGTAAAACAATACTGATTCAAAGTGATATATACCTTTATCCTAAGGACATGACCTCTTTATTTTTGTATTAAATCAAGGTCCCTAAGCTTTGTATTTTGGTTTTGGATACCAAAATACAATTAACACAAGGGGAATTTTTATGGTAGGGAAGACTCATTTTCACTACCGGTAGTGAAGGCTCTTTTAGCTATCGGATTAATTTTTCAAAGGCCTGATTGAGTGTTCACATTAAAATATGCACCATTTGACACAAAAGTGGTCCCTCCCACAAATAGATCAGACCTTTGAAAGATTAATCTGATGGCTAAAAATTACCTTCACTACATGATAGTGAAAAAAAAAAAAAAGGGTCTTCCTTACCATGATAATTTCCAAATATGAATACCCTAGTTCAACTTTGAAGAGTTGATATTGCCCAATTCAAGGGACAGCTGAAATTTTACTGAATATTGTTGTGGACATCTTGACTTGAGAAGTTTCTTTAAATACGCCTTCATTTCAGTTTCAGCCAAATTGTATGCCTGCCGAAGAAATTGAAACTGAATTGTTATATTTGCAGGACTGGATCCTGGAATATCAGCAAGGATACAAGCATTCAAACGTAGCAAATCAGTGTACACACAGGTAAATCCATACATAATACCACTAACGGAAAGCTAATTTGCTTGCTTGGTATTCGAAATTGATATCTGTTTTCTTGTTCATGTCTTCAAAAGATACAAGATCTACATTGAAGGGTGGGCGTGGTCGGTTAGTGAAAAGTACATTCTTTCCTGTGATTCAGTAACATTGCTAGTAAAACCACGATATTACGATTTCTTCACGAGAAGTCTCCAACCGTTACGCCATTACTGGCCTATAAGGGATAATGACAAGTGCAGATCCATCAAGTTCGCGGTAGACTGGGGAAACAACAACAAAGAAAAGGTTATTCTTCTTTTTAAGTTGATGTTCTTTCTATGTTAATGCCCAACTGCGAAAGACTAAATCTCTATGGACAATTAAACAGGCACAAGCCATTGGAAAAGCAGCAAGTGACTTAATTCAAGAAGAGGTGAAGATGGATTATGTGTATGATTACATGTTTCATCTGCTGATCGAGTATTCGAAGCTCTTGAAATTCGAGCCTACGGTACCTGAAGGAGCTGTCGAGCTGTGCGCGGAGACCGTGGCTTGTCCTGCGGAAGGGCAAGAGAAGAAGTTCATGAATGAGTCCTTAGTCAAAAGCCCTGCTGTTACAACACCATGCACTATGCCTCATCCGTATGAACCCCAAGTTCTTAAAAGTATTCATATTTCGAATCTAAAGTCAATTAGGAAAGTGGAAAAGTGGGAAAATGAGCATTGGGAAAAAATGAGTAAGAAGCAACAAGGATAAGCAGTTGACCAATGTACTTATTTCTTACTCAGAAATTAGCTCACTTTATCAAAGAATGAAAGTCATTTTATTCTAACTTTTATGCAAGAGAAGTCGAATCTTTGCAATCCAACCAATCTTTTCAAAATGGTGGAATTAAAAGAATGAAGGTTTCTTAATATCCTTGTTGTTAATCATAGTCCCTTACTCATAACAGATTCCTGTTTCCAACTAGAAAAAAGTGGTAACTTGTATAATAGAGGAGAGAGGTTAAATCTTAGTGAAAAAACTCTTAATGACTTTAGAAAAAACAAAAAAACAAAAAACAAAAAAAAACGAGAGAAGTTGAATTTTTGCGCAAAATCACTTGTATAGCACAGAAGTGGTAATCTAAAAACCACTAGTATAAGAAGAGACCATCCAACTAATCTTTGCAAATGGTGAAAACAATAAAAACAATAAATCGGAAAGGAAAATTGCATATCCAGAAGACAGAGGAGGTACGCCCGTCAAAAACTTGAAAACGTATTAGAGTTGTAACATTTTAACTAAATATTCTCCAATGCCTTTTTTACTTGACTCGTACTCATTCATTTTATTGTCACTAAAATTGATTAATGAATAAAACTCTAGACCACCATCTTCTTCTTGCCCCATCATTTGTATCATAAATTGGACCAAAATCAAATTTGTCGTCTTCGTTCGTCCTTCATATCTTATGAATCAAAGACTGAATCATAATCAAAATTGAGGATAAAATAAATCCAAAAATTCTTCTTTTTGAACCATTGGTCCTCGTAGTGTGGCTTAGGAGCCGTATTTCATTGAGTTAAAGTATTCATGGACCACTCTGTTTTTCACAAGCATTAATGGGTTTGGAGTAAGGATTACTGCATTTTGAATACAATATAAAATTTCACTATTTTTGTTAGTTGGGTCATAAACGGGTCATAAACTGTTTTTTTTGTGTCGGCCCGTCGCGGCACGTTTAGTAATCGTGTTCCCGTGTCGTGTCGTGTTAACTATGTTATTAGCATTTCGTGTTCGTGTTTGGGTTTCTGACACGTTTATTAATCGTGTCGTGTTTGTGTTCACTATAATCCTGTCGTACTGTAATCGTGCCGGCCCGAACATGACACACAAACACGAATTGTCAGCCCTAATATAAACTCCTTTATTTTTGCAGAGCACGTGCACATCACTTTACGTCTAAAAGCATATGCTACTTTGGTACCAATATAAATACCATTTACACTCTAAATCAAATATATCTAAGATATCTCTTCAAATCGATTATGCAGTAAATCCTTTTCAAATTCAAACTTAATCTCCACTTTTCCATATGAGCACATTATCTCCAACAAATCTATAAATCTCCTAACTTGAATATGACAATAAAATCTTCTTTCAAAATCAACTCCACAAGACAATTAATCTAATATTCTTTCCTCAAATAACTCTCTCATCAAATATACATTTGTCTCTATGATCACCCCAAATCTCCGAAATTTTTCCTTGACCAAGTCTGATTTCCTTCTTCAAAACATTTCATATATGAAACAATTAATCAGACAAAATATCTTCATAATCAGCCTAAAAACGCCACTTATCAAAAGTATCTGTTTTTAAATTTTTACAACTCATTGCCAAAACATTGCCAACTAACAAAATCCTAACAGGAAGAAATGAAAACCACAAAGTTAAATTACAAACTTTCAAAGACTGTTGATTCTTGCAGAATAATCGCAACTTGAAGGCATCAAATTCATCTCGATTCTTTCAAGGATGTCAAGAACAATGGAATATAAGATTGAACTCCCTATTTAAAAAACTATACAATTTACCATCTCTAATCTAATTTAAAATAGAGTACAATGATATTTATAAGTACTTTAAAACCACCAACATTCATGACTCAATATTAAAACCAAAAATTTTTAAGATTCCAAAACTCCCCTAAAATAAATACAAGTACTTATAACTACTAAAAACTCTCAAACAACTGACTTTTAGATTCCCAAAATAAATTCAAGGCTTTTGAGCTTTTTCACATTAATAATACAAGACCCCTGTAATCTTCCACTGGCTCTCAAATTAATAAATAATTAATTCTGGGCTTTTCCTTTAGCCATATAACTTCATATATTGACTCAAACTCATGATTATTGAGTGGATGAGAAACAATTGTTAAAATGGAATCTTATTTGTGATTCGTTTAGTACGACGGAATTGGAATGAGAATGCATGGATTAGTGTTAAACATGCCAACTGCTTATATACAACTGGGCTTCCATTAGCCACGAGCTATTTGACGATCATCCTTTTGCAATTTTTAAGAAATAATGAATAAACAGAAAATAATAATAATAATAAGCAAAAGAACGTCTTTAATACTAGTTTTAGTTTTTATATCATTTTCTTATAAATATGTAGTTTTTATATCATTTTTCTTATAAATATGTAGTTTTTATATCATTTTTCTTATAAATATGCTAAAAAATAAAAATTGCCCTGCGAAAATTACACAACCAAGCTGAGGCCTAATTAATCTGATTTTTTTATAAGGAAGAAAAACCTTATTAGTAGGGTTAATTCGAGGCTTTTTTTATAAAAAAAAAAATGAGTAATTAGTTAAGGTTTTCTAATTATGAGTCCTTGTCTTAAGGGGCCTTAGACAGTTGTCTTAATAAAACCGCCCATAAAATAAATCTCCTCCAAATGCGTTCTCTTTCTTCCACTATCATAGATAGCCTCATTTCAAAGGTTCTCCACTTCTGAGGCCCCCAATAACAAGGATCACCTTTCTCTTTTCTACTCCTATACCTCTCATTTGTTCCTCTTGCAATTGGTATTGTTGCCCCCACTTTGATCCATTTTTCATTTGTCATTTTACCTTTCTCTAATTTCACTTTTCAGGAGGCTTTTTCTCCCCCATTGGAGGCAAAATGGTACCATTTCCTTTCCCATTTCTCTACTTATCTTATTATAATTTGTAATGATAAGGCAATATATATGGTTAATCATAACTATTGTCGGCCGTGATCATGAATTATTATGTGTGAAGTCTCAAAAAAGATTCATCAATGAGTTAATTCAATTACAAATATTGTTTTCATAGATCTCTCCTTTTCTTTTTTCTTGGACGTAACTTTTCTGGAGAATTTAGTTGGCAAAAATGACAACAAATCGATTCCTGCCTAGGAAAAGCTAGGTCCTCTTCCAAATTTATTCTTCATTAGGCAATCTCATTATTTGTAATGGAGCATTGGCTTCGGAATTGCAAAATTACGTAATTAAATTTCTCATGTTTTACACCGTATGTTGTTCTTATATCAATATGATAATCTCTTTGTCCACGCCTTAGTTATCGCAACAATATTATAGGTTGTAATGTTAATTGCAATTGTTACAATTATGATTGGTGGGGACAGGCCAATGCAGCTTCAGGAATGGCGGTGAACGACGAGTGCAAGCTCCGGTTTTTGGAGCTAAAAACGAAGAGGACCTACCGGTTCATCCTCTTCAAGATTGAGCAGCAGCAGGTTGTCATTGACAAGCTCGGCGGACCTAATGAGAGCTATGATGATTTCACTGCCAGTTTTCCTCCCGATGAGTGTCGTTACGCGGTTTATGATTTTGATTTCATCACCAATGAGAACTGCCAGAAGAGCAAGATTTTCTTCATTGCATGGTAGCTTTCACAACAAGTACTTGATTTGTACTTAAATAGTTCTAGTTCATTTGCATATAGTTTTTAGACAACTCTGCAAAATTGCTAGCAAAATAGATTTTATAACTGCCTATAATAACAATTGTTCGTGAATACTCATATACCCCCATCATTGAACTTGCATTTGGATCCTACACTTCGTATATCACCAAAACATTCCTAAGTTGTGTGTGTGTTTTTTTTTTGTTTTTATTAATTTGTTTCATCGGGGCCCCACTTTTGAAAATAATTAATTTAGCAATGGTGTTACATTAGAATGTTTTCTTATAGCAACTTTGTCCATCTAAATAATAAAAACAGACGCAAATCCTACACCATTTAGATACAAGAATAAACACCAACTTATAAGAACACGGATGGCCCAATGTCTTTATAAATTAGTGTTTATTTTTATATGATGTGAAACTCGGGTTTGTTTTCATCCAAAGTTGAATTAAAAGACTATTGTTGCACTTTGTGAGTATATAATTTTTCATTTCTTTTTTTTTTTTTTTTTTTGGTTTGGTATACAGGTCTCCGGACACATCTAAGGTGAGAATGAAAATGGTGTATGCAAGTTCCAAAGACAGATTTAAGAGAGAATTGGATGGCATTCAGTTCGAGTTGCAAGCAACAGATCCTAGTGAAATGAGCTTGGACATTGTTAGAGGACGAACCTTCTAATAATTTTAAAAATTTTTTTAAAAAAAAAAAAAAAAAAAAAAAAAAAAAAAAAAACCTAAATGCCTGTCCTTTACTGTTTACTATTTCGTGATTATGGGGTCTTTTTCTTTGTTTTCGATGCCGTAACCATATTTTGCTTTCAAAAACCAGACCCCTCTAAGATGTACTACTGTCGTTTTTGCATTATTGTGTAACCTGAGAAACTTGTTGATTAATGAGTTCTTAGCACAGATTATTGGCCGCTAAAAAAGCTTAATATTACATGTATTGCATAGCAAACAGTAGCTGGAGTATCTAGTAGAATGGTTTTTGGCTCTTCGGAATTAGATTGTTATGCTAAATGCTTATCAGCTGATCATTCTCTTTCACTTGTGGCCTTATTATGTAAATTGTAACGGTTTATAGTATTTGGGATAATTACAAAATTAAGTATCCCTTAAGGTTTAAATTATTTGGCATATTAGTTTTTTTTTTTTTTTTTTGGATGAAAAAGGGATCTAAATTCTAGACCTCAACGTTACAAGTATGTTGGTGGATTTATCATAAGATGGAGTAAGTATAGATTTAATGTTAGCCTATGTCTACAATGACAACATGTAGTTTTAGGATTTTAAGCGACAACAAAGTTGAGGGAAAAAGAAAAAAAAAAACATGTCGTTTATCATGCACGTCAATATTGTAGTAATACATATGACTGTCGTTTTACGAGCATGGAAATTTTTGATGTTGTGACAAAAGGGAAAGGCAAAGGCATATAAAAACGACATATCTTTTTACAAATGACATTTCTTTTTACGATAAAAATTTGTAGAAACATGCCACAATCATATTGCCGTATATGAAGATAACGACATGCCACTTTACAAGGAAAGAAAAATGTAGTTCTACACTTTGGAGGTAAACTTTCAACGACAAATGTACCTTGGTTTTACGACAAACCACCCTGAGATATATATTTATGTCTATGTCGTCTCATGGAGAAAAACGATAGCAAAATTAGGGAGAAAATGACATGTCGTCAACTCAAACACTATGAAATATAAATTATTTGAAAATTTATTACCATCTTTTTTATTTATTATTGATTGAAAATTTTAATCTGCAATAATTTCTTTCAACGAAAATAAAAGAAAAAAAAATAGAGATATCTTCAATAGTTTAAACGTAATCTAAAATAAATAAATTAACGTGATTATCATGTTCTAAAACAGAGAAATAAAATAGCAAAATACAAGTTTTCTAAGTGAAAAAACCTTTTAAAAAAATTTACTCAAAAAAGAAAACTTTTCAAAAAAAGTAACAAAAAAATGCAGTATTTTTTTTTTTTTACAATTTAAAAAAAGGCAGTATTACTGCCTGAAAATACAAGAAAAGGTCAAAAGGCTTCTGTTTCAAAACGACGACGTCCAAAGATTTCTCGCATAGTATAAGCACTTCCTAGGGTTTTAACAGTGCTTAATCTTATTCTCTTCCTGTGCAACAATGGAGGATCAAGAAACCCCAAAGCCATCCCCAGCTCCATGCTGGAGCAACCTCCTGAAGAACCAGACGGCTCCAAAGCCCCAAAACCCTAGCCCTAGCCCCACAGTCGGCGTCTTCGCTGAGAGCTGCAAGTCCACCAAGGGCATCGCCGTCGCCGTCGTCGACGCCAACGCCATAATCGACGGCGGAGAGAGGCTTTCCCAATGCGCCGACAAGTTCGTCTCCGTTCCCGAGGTTATGGACGAGGTCCGCGACCCCGTCTCCCGCCACCGCCTCGCCTTCATCCCCTTCTCCGTCCAATCCATTGAGCCTTCGCCGGAATCTCTCAACAAAGGTGCGATTTTTCTTAGGTTTTTGGTCTCAAAACGTAATTTTTCTTTCTTCATTCGTTTTTGTGAAGTTCAATCTTGAAAATACGTCGAAAACTTGATAATTGGATTACTTTTAAGTCTAGTTATAGCGATTAAAGGTTTAGAAATTAGTATAATGATTTTATTTTTCTTTTTTCCGACGGAATAATTATCAGTTATTGGACTAATCTTTGTTGTTCTATTCAAAAAGCATAATTTAGACCAAGTAATAATAAGTTATAGGTACGTTTTATTTTAATTTGAATAATTCAAATTGATATTATTGAATTTTTGTTTGGTTTCGTTTTGAATAGTGATCAAGTTTGCTAGGGCAACTGGAGATTTACAGACACTATCAGATGTGGATCTCAAGCTTATTGCATTGACTTACACTTTAGAGGCTCAAATCCATGGCACTGAACACCTTAGGGAGTGTCCTCCTCCGATCCACACGGTTAACGTGAAGAGGTTGCCTGAGAAGGACATGCCGGGGTGGGGCTCCAATGTCCCCAATTTGGAGGAATGGGAAGCATTGGAACACCAAGCCGAGGATAAACCGGATGAGGATTCAAGAATCCTCCCCTTGAAAGACTTGAACTTGAATGTTGTTTCTGATGCCGGTTCTGAGCATCAGACAGATGATGGTGAGGAGAATGTTGGGAGGCCGAGGAGGTATCCTCCCAAGAAAAAAGAGATAAATATTGAGGGGAAAAAGATGGTGACAGATGGGATTGATGCGTCTCGGGGAGAGTTTGATGGTGATGAAGGGGATTGGTTGCCTGCTGTAAGTCGAAGCACTCACAGAAGATTTCTTAGGAGAAAAGCTAGGCGTGATTATTATGAATCATTGTCCGAAAAAGATGGGTTTTCTGAGAAGAATGAGATGACGGAGGACAAGAATGATGGTCAAGAGAATGGCACTAAAGAAGAGAAGAATGGTGGTGTTGAAGAGAATGAAGTGCGAGAGGGAAAGAATGATGAGGAAAACCTCTCCACAATCCTACACCAGATGAGGTTGGAAGAAGATTTGGTGGAAGAAGATTTGGTTAAGGGACTTCAAGAAGGGAATGCCAACGCTGAAGGAGATCAAACAGATATGGTTAGTGAAGGCCACGACCATTTAGAGGTCTCGAGTGAGATTAACGATTGTATTGATGCCTCAAATGTAGAGGATGATGCTAGTAGTGAGCATAGCTGGATGCTCAGGTCCTTGTCCGAGTCGAGTGTAGCTTGTATAACCAGTGACTTTGCGATGCAAAATGTCATTCTCCAGATGGGTTTACGCTTGGTGGCACCGGGAGGAATGCAGATCCGCCAGCTGCACAGGTATATGACTTCACGTTTCCTTTTGAGAATCTTTTTTTTTTCAGTATGGCATTGACTAAATTCGTGCAATCAGATATTAAAGCTATGAGAGATTTGATATTGTGACCAAAGCCTGACAAAACAATTTTCATTTATTTCCAGGTGGGTTTTAAGGTGTCATGCCTGCTATACAGTGACTGCTGAAATTGGGAGAATTTTCTGTCCCAAGTGTGGAAATGGTGGAACTTTACGCAAGGTAGCTGTCACAGTCGGTGAGAATGGAATTACTTTGGCAGCTCGACGTCCGCGTATTACACTGCGTGGCACAAAAGTTAGTATGCGTTTTTAACTTGCAGACATTTCTATAATATCATTATTTTTTTTTTATTTTTGTTGGTCATTGCTGCTAAATTCTGTTCTGGTATGTTTTTTATACTTTGAATTTTGGATAGCATATTCATTTTGTGATTGTTTGGTATCACATGCTTGAAGATAACTGATTCATTTGGAATTCTTTTTGACTTTATGTTACTTGTCTGAATCAAAAACTATGCATCTTCTCTATCTCAATGTGTTTGTGCGTCTGTTCTTCGCGTGCATTGACAAGCACTGCTTCCCATTTCTACATGTTCTTGACAATTGGCTGTTTGCAGTTTTCACTGCCTTTACCTCAAGGTGGAAGAGACGCGGTTTCTAAGAACGTCATCTTACGTGAAGATCAACTCCCTCAAAAGTTCCTTTATCCAAAGACAAAGAAGAAATCGACTAAACAGGTTTGCGGCCTTTTCATTTATTTCATAAATCTATTATTTTTTATTTTAATGACAACTATTCTTTCTATTTGATTGAATTGGAAAAAGTTATCGACATCATGTTTTTTATTGCATGCTTTCAGGGAGACGACTACTACGTATCCGATGACATTTTCAGTCACCACCATAGTCATAAAAAGGCTCCTTTCCAGCCTCCCGTTAGGAAGGCATTAGCAGTTTTCAGTGGCAAGAGGAATCCTAATGACAACCATTACACTCGTTCTAAGCATAAATAAAGGCTCTTTCTTGTTTAATTTCCTAAATTTCGTGAGTTTTGATATTAAAAAGTTATGTCTTGCCACAAATAGTTGAGTCTTTCGTTGAGCGTAATTTTTTATTATCCTCTAAGCAAAGCTAATTTTTGTGGGGATTTCTCTGCTGCTACTGAGTTTCAAAAGCAGTATGGTTCTTCTTTTGAAGCGACTCGTGTGAGATTCCATTCATTACGTTTTTCATTTTTTCTTCTTTTTGGTGTTTAGACGACTGTTTCCAAATTTTACATAAAAAGAGTGTAAAACAACAATGATATTGTATTCCATTAACAACTTCGTCAATACTCGGCAAATATATATACATATATATAGTGCTTATCAGCCAAAAAAAAAGGGAAGACGAGTAAACATAATGCTTGCAAGTTACAAGCTAAAGCTTACGGATGTTCAGTTGTGAGTTATATTGTACTATGGTAGAGATAACCACGCCGAAGAAAAATACATCTCATTATCTTTTTTTTTTCTTTCCTTCTTTCTTTTTTAGTGGGAACACATCCCATTATCTTAATTCACTTGTTAGCAAGTAATTTCAGAACTTTTGTCTGAACGAATGGTATACAACGAGGCTCTTGTCGTGCATGAAACTCTTCAACTCTTCTCTACAACGCAAAGCATTTACAAATATAAAAAAAGAAAAAGGGTAACTTGGAACTGGACCAGGTAAAGAAAGTAGTAAAAAAAATTGTATAATTCTCTGCTTTACAGTGTGTTAGCTTCTTCAACTTTCATCACGATGAAAGTGCGAGCTCAGCCCATGCCAACGAAGACGCCTTAAGCTCAACCGAGATTGTCGTGTCAATTCGGCTCTCCAGCATGTAGCACAAAACCTCCATCCGTGGCCGCTTGGTTGCATCTGGATCTATGCAAAGATTCACGACCTCACATATGACCTTGAGATCGTCATATCCGAAATGCTTCAATTCAGGATCCACCACATAAGGCATCATTTCTGGCAGCTCAAGGTATTCCTTGGCCTGTAAGCAAGAGAGAAGAAACCTTTAGGCCTTGGAGCATGATAATCTTCAAGATTGCTGAATTTTAAAAAAAAAGTAATAATAATAAAATTTCAGAAAGTTTCTTACCCAATCTACCAAGCCACCTTTGTCCTTGCAGTATGGAGGTCTCCCACTGATTATTTCCAACAAGAGAACACCAAACGCGTAAACATTGCCTTGAATGTCCAGGTGGCGCGCTTCCAGAGAATTCGGAAGAAGGCAAATGTCACCTTGGCTGCCAATAGATCCTGAATTCTTTTCCGACCTTGCAAGAATTGCCTTCCAGCTTTCGAAGTCAACGAGCTGCATTTGGAATCAAGGATGTATTCTCAAAGTCAGAATTTTGTGTGAGCTTCTAAATTTTCAATCTTATAACCTCTTGTTGGAAAGATATACTAACACAAAACTGCAAAGTTTTACTATTAGGTCCTTGGAATTAAACCTTGGGGGAAAAATCTTCTGTAAGGTATACAGCACTAGAATTCAACTCTGATATGGTAAATGGTGGCTCGAGTTCCGAGTGAAGATACTTCAATCCTCGAGCAATGCCTATCCCGATTTTCATCCGCCGCGTCCAAGATAATTGGCATCCTTCACCATCTGTAGTCAAATAATATCTCGGGTTATGAGATGAAAAGACATGTCCAAAGCAAACAAATGTTGAAAGGAGAAAGCAGTACGGCTTACAATGAAGGTGCTCATATAGTGTTCCATTGGATGCATATTCAAAAACCAGCATCCTTGTAAAGGGACTGCTCTCCGTGCAATAACCGAGCAATTTCCCTGTATTCTCGTGATTTAGTCTTGCCAAATCCGCTACCTAGAATGGATATTAAAGTTAAATTCTAAACTTGGTCAATTAGTTTTTGGAAAGCTTTTTAAGTTAAGGTCTTTAGCAAACTCTATATCAGAAGGGCTTTTTTTTTTCCAATTTTACCTCTCTCTGATAATAGAGCTCAAGAAAGCCTGTCCAATTCTCTTCTTTAATGCACAGGGATATCACAGCAATTTCGGGTCCACCTCTCATGTTGCCTTTGTAGACCAAACTATCTGGTGAGGAACCAATTATGTTGCTGAAGTCTTCACAGGCTACTTCAAGCTCTTGTCTGCTGAATCTAACTACATCTTTCAGTAACTCAGAATCTGTAAGCAAAACCTCCACAAGTTAATCAATAATTTTACTGAAATATGGCATCTTTAAGTAATTCTGTGTCCATCATAGAAGAAGATAAGGTACGGAAACTGACCTACGTATACCACAACATTGTCCTTCTCACTGGGTGATTTTTTCCAGGGAATTATAATAGAGGATTTGCTATTGCATCTTTGGAAAGCCGTGAGAAGAGCGACAAGAAAGACAGAACCCACCATGACTCCTGTTCCTACTTCTAGCGCCAGAAGCCAGGTAGGTTTTGATGCTTGCTGATGCTTGGGTCCGGATTCAGGCGACCGGTGTTTCAAGTTGTCCGCTTCTGGGTGAGCTTTGATAAGAGAAGTACCATCTGCAAGAAAAAAGGGAATCAATTTGAACTAGCAATCAACAGAAAATATTCATTTTTGACCAAATTCTGCGATGATGAGTTCAAACTTGGTTCCAAATATAATGTCGGTTGGGTACCATGAAACATTAATGGGACGTTTGGTTCATGGGTTCAGAACCATAATTCACGATTCTGAGTTTTGAATTCAAATTTTTTGTGAGAGAAAAACACTGTAAAGAATCAAGAACCATAATTCAGAACTAGGGACGAACCCTTGAAACAAACATCCCATAAAAGTTTAGCAACTTAAATCACGTTGAAAGCATAGTTACATACCACATTGCTTTTTAGGGCGCTGTTTTATATCTTTATGCTGGAGACAGTTCCCTTGAAAACTTGTGCTGCATCAGATATTACTTGTAAATAAAAGATTTACAAAACACCTAGAATTGAAAATGAAAGAGGGTCATGAAGGTACTTTGGAAGATACTGCAAGCACTTAGGTATACTGCCAACAAAGAAGTTGTACGAGAAATCCCCCACTTTCAACTTACGGCAGAAACCTGTCTCGTTTGAGCTTGGTGCAATCCTGAAGCAAAAGCATGCAAAAGAGATAGAATTAAAGGAAATGAATATTTGAAAAAAAAAAAGATTTTTATAACATTTTCTTCCATGCTAATGTGGTTAGTCATAACCTTTAGCAACACAGCCTATTCATGTGAAAAATAGTTTCCTTTGCTAACTCGATGCTAGTATGAGAATCTTGAAAATGAACATTTTAGAATATATTGGCCAATGAAAATATCCACCACGTAAAATCTTTTGGAATGTCTTAACTTGTTGACATATCCTGTTGCAACTATTAGCTCTCCGTGCACTACACATATTCAGCTCCATAAATGTTTGCAACGATACCGATTACGAATGTGCACCCAACCCAAAGTAATTTTCAAAAATTTATAATATAATTCAACTCATAGTAAACCATATTACAGATAGAAATGCTTGGAAAAAGATGAAAGACTTCAAAGTGCAAGAATCTCCTACTTACATTCCATGCATGCTCGACGGATAATCAGCATTGGAACCAGCAGGAACAGTTCCTTGAAGCCTATTTCTGTCCAACCGAAGCTCCTCGAGGTTTTTCAAGTTCCCAAGCTCAGGAGGTAGACGGCCGGTCAACCCATTGGACTCAAGGTTTCTGCAAGAAAATTAGTGAATTGAGCTATAGTAAAACAAACCCCAAAACGACCAACAAACAAAACTCCAATCAAAATTGACAAATGCTATACTCGTATTACATTTTCTCGACACTGGATAAGTTCCCAATCTCGAGAGGAATCGGACCCGTGAGTTCATTCATCCCCAAATCCAAGACCTTGAGGTTCTTTAACAAGCTCACTTCCTTAGGAATGACTCCAAGCAGCTTGTTTCCATGCAAAACTCTACAAATAACCACAACGTAAAAAAGTAAGCTTCAACCATCATCATGTCCTTTGAAGTAAAACATAAACAAAAATGGAATTGAAAAAAAAAAAAAAAAAAAAAAAAAGCGTACAGTTCTTGCAAGAAACTGAGTTGTCCCAATTCTGGCGCAAGAAATCCCCTTATAGATGCCCCAGAAATGTTACTGCAAAAAAAAATTCCAACACAAGATGGCAAGTCAAATGACTACTTATCATCATTACTTTTGCCATTACAAGGGACATAACTGCCAAAAGTAAAGCTACAATTTTTCACAAACATAGATATATCAGAATTCATTAAAAAAAAAAAAAGACATTGTTAGATCATGTCTTACATCTTTATTACATGGTCTCGACCCCCATTGCAAGAAATGCCATTCCAATCACAAGGATCCGCATCTAGAGCATTCCAATCAGACAAAACCAGATGTGGGTCTTCATATATAGCTTCCTTAAAGATTGTAAGAACCGAAACTGCACCAAACCCAGATTTTCTTTTCGGGTCAGAGAAGATCTACTTGAACAGATTTTAAAATAAATTAAATTAAATTTTTAAAAAAAAATCTCAAAAAAGAATGAAACATTTCTATGCTTTTCTGTTCCAATGTCGCCATCTCTAGACTACTACACTCACCAACAAAATCCAAAATTTCAACAGAAAATGACCAGAGCCACACTACTTCAAACAGAATCTTTAATGCAGATTTAATTTTCAAGAATGCATCAAGAATTCTTTTTTTCCTTCCAAGCGAACTTTTTCACTACTTTCTGCTGCTGGTGAAAAATCAAGTTCACATTTTTTTTTTGTTTTTTCTCTTTCCCACATTTTCTCACTAACCAAACGGAGATTCACAGAAATCAAGATCTGGGGAAGAGATGCATACCTTCTTTAGATGCAAATCCTTCACAAACGACAAAAAGAACTCCACATATCAGACTCAGTAACTGAAATGAAGCGAATGATCTCATTTTCTTTTTCCTTTCTTTCTCTCAGTTTCTTCTCAAAGACCCAGAAGAGCTCATTAACCCCGAAAACTACAAAGAGAGAGAAAAAAGAGAAAAAGAAAAAGGCAATGACTTGGAGAGACGTGGCTTTTATGCGAGAATAACAAACAAACAAGCAAACAAACAAAAACCCAGTTCAAGATCCTTCTAATACTGTAATCTAGAGCTAAGAATCTGGTTGGTTTTGTGAAAGATGAAGAAAAACAAAAGAAAAAACGCAGAGAACTACATAGTTTTGAAAACCCAAGATTCAGTGAAGAAAGAGAAACGGACACAAAAAAAGACCAAGGTTTTGGACGTTGATAGATGCCCAGAATTTAGATGAAAACTTGGATTCAAAGACAGGTTTGCTAACTAGTAAAAAGACGAGCCAAAACAACAAAGATTTTGAAATAATGTCAATAATAAAGGGGAAACAAAAAAACAAAAGCAAAAAGAAATGGATAACAATAGTACTCACTCACTGAAAGAGAAGGAGAGAGAGAATGTCTTCTTTAAAATGGCGCTATTTTTATATTTGGTATTAATAAATCAAGTTTATTTACTTTTCTAGAAATATTTATTTTATTTTTTTCTTTTTAAGTAAATTAGATGGGTTTTTTGTGTCATGCGAGTTTTTGGATCTTTCTATTAGTGGAAATGATTGCGTTAACATGGGCTGATTAATAGCGTGACGAGAGATAATACCTTATGACGGGTCTCGTGAGATTTAAAAAAAAAAAAAAAACCAAGAGAAAGTATTTTATGGGGTGTGTGTCGGAGCATTTTGAAACCCCTACGCTTCTCCAATCAGATGAGCCGGTGGATCAGACGGCAAGGATTAAGAGATGAGTGGACCCTCACTAGTCATAGTTAAGATAGTTTTGAATTCTATGGTTGAGATTGCTTTGTTAAGACGGCTTGCGTTCTTAAGTTGACCGTCTATTGGGTTTTTTAATCATATCGGACGGCAATGATGACCCATTGGTGGCTTTATTAGGTAATTCAATTTTACTCTCATAGTGATCAATTGGTGGTAGTTAGATTGAAAGTCAAGGGATAGTTGATTGCTTGAGCATTTGTTAAAGATTTATGATTATTTTAAAAATTACATAATTTTGACCAAAAAAAAAAATTGTTGTTCAATAATGCCTCCTTCCATTCCAAGATTAAACATTTTGGAAATAATTAAAAAAAAAAACATTTGTTTATATTACATATAAACAACCATTGAAAATTTTTGATAATATGATTTTCCAAATTTGATTGAGATCAGGAGTGAGGATGAAGTTCCAAAATAAAGATAACAAATTTAACTTCAAAGATAAGGGCATCCCATGTGTAGAAATAATAACAAATTCACTGTAATGGCATTTCCAAATAAAAAGAACTGTGATAACATATATACCAATCAAAACAAAGTATTATATATTTCATCATTTTTTTAAGGCCTATAGACAACAACAACAGCATGCATTTAACGACAGTTCATTATACCTTATTGTCAAGTCAAACAAAATCATTATTCATTATCTTATTCACATTTATTTAAAGTTCCATCCAATGTGCTGAGATAAATAAATATGTATTAGTAGATATAATTCTCAATCGTTAGAATTTTATCTCTGCTAAATTATTTAATTATAGGATTATTGTCATCAGTGATCTTAAACTTTAGTATCATTCCTAATTTGTTTTCGCACTTTCAAAATTTTCACTTTGTCTCTTTAAATATTGAATTGTTTCTATTTAAATTTTTTTGTTGTAATTTTTATTAAAAACAGATAAGAAAAAAAATAATGCAGTCATGTGACATTTCTCTTTAAATTTATATTAAAAATAAACTACATGACAACATTTAACCCTCTCTTTTTTGCCTAATTTTAATAAAAATTACAATAAAAATGATTAAATGGGAACAATTTAAAATTCAAATGGCAAAATAAGAGTTTTTAAAGTTCAGAGGCAGTTGAAAATGACTCTAAAATTCGAAACACATGGAAGAATAATACTTAATTTTAAATCTTTTATCATAAAAGTCTTAGACAATAAAATAGATAATTCACTTCAAAAAAAAAAATAAAGAGAGAAATAACATAATTGGTAAAGGGATTATTAAATTATAGCATATTTTTTAAAAATATTAAATTATAACATAATTTGTTATTTTGAATTTTAAACATTATTAAAAACTCTAAAATACACCTAAATCTCCTTTTCCACCTCACTTCTCCTCCCTAAACATCTATTTTTTTAAAAATAGTAAATTATAGCATTTTTTTAAAATAGGTAGACCATAGTCAAGTCCACCGTGACTGAGACTGGCGACCGGCTCCGGTGATCGGAGACCATTTTTCAACAACCTGTGAGCATTTTTCGATGACAGGTGACCGTTTTTCTGTTATTTTTTTCAACGACTGTTTAACACTGTATTTACTGATAAATACTATATTTACCATTCAATACTGTATGTACTAGTGAATACCATATTTACCCGAAAAGCCGACCACCGACTCCGGCGACCGTTTACAGCTGTATTTACAAGTAAATAACGTATTTATCAATAAATATTGTATTTACTAGTAATTATTATATTTACTCAAAAATCCGACCACCACCTACAGTAACCGTTTAACACTATATTTACTAGTAAATACCATATTTATGAGTAAATATCATATTTATCTGAAAATTTAGGCACTAATTTCGATGACCGTTTAACACAATATTACTAGTAAATACTGTATTTACCAGTAAATACCATATTTACGAGTAAATATCATATTTATTTGAAAATTTGACGACCGACTCCGGTGACTATTTACTACAATATTTACCGATAAATATCATATGTACCACATTGAGAATTGAATTCAGTGAAATATTTACTGGTAAATACATTATTACCATATTCAAAATTGAATTCAGTGAAGTATTTACCAGTAAACACAGTATTTACTAAATTCAAACTCAAATTCAGTAAAGTATTTACCAGTAAATATAGTATTTACCGGGATTCAGTAAAATATTTACCTGAAAATACAATATATTCTTATAATCGAGAAACTCTCCCAAATCAAATTACAATTAAAAACAACCAAAAACATGAAAAATACACAAAAAGACAACAACAATAACAACTAAATTTTTTTTCAAATATCATAAAATCATATTTACAAAAACCACAAATTCATTCAAATCTAGAAATAAGAAAACAGAACTATAAAATTCTCAAGTAAAATCATATCTAGAAATTCACAAGGAAGAGTGAGGAATGTGAATATTGAGATGTATAGAAGGAATATAAGGTACAAAGCAGAAGTAAGAGCTCCGGCAAGAAACCACCAAAAATCTGATGATTTAAAGACAAAGATCACGAATGAGAAGAGTCGACACTGGTGAAGGATCTTTGTCGAGGAAATGCTCGCAAATGTGGTAAGAGAAGAAGGTCGGCCTCACGACTCAAAGGTGAGAGAGAGAAACGAGATTTGAAATCTGCCATCAAATCTAGTGACTTCGCCCAAGGAGCATCGATCTCCATTACAACGTGAGTTTTCCTAGATCACCGTTGTTCCATATCAAAGGATGAACAATGACAAGACTTGAGAGGCAACGAGACTAGGGAGAGCTTAGACAGCATAT